GGGAAATTTAATTATATATTTGAAGGCTAAAAATTATATTTTTGGAAGGCGAAAATTTATCGGTTACAATTATTAAGAAATCGCTCAAGCTTAAGTAGATTTTGATTGGTCTTCATAAAAAATCTTTCCTATTAAACTACCGATACTTATTAATTGCTCTGGTCTATAACTTCTCCACAAAAGCTTAGTGTGGGTAAGCTATACACCGAACAATGGTTTTCAAACGAACCTTTTCAAAATGGCAGTAACTTCAAGTTCAACACCCCCGTTGTCATAATCGCCAGTCTATCAGTTTCCATTTATTCATTATTTTTGAAGTATATTTAAATTAAAATTCTATTAAGACAGAAGTCTACGCACACATTTAAAGATTTCAATAAACTTATTCCGGTGATTTCTATGCCAGAGTCAATATTATTAAAATGGTAAAAGTACATCGAATAGTAATATGGTATAAATTAATGGACAGTAAGTCTAATACTTCTATTATTTAAATATAATTTAGTCACATATTGTTCCGGGACTTATAATAATAAGAAGAATAAGAATGTGCCAAATGTGTTACTTGCCTAGCATGTCGTAATAGCAAGCACTAATGGGATATTGTGATTTTGTATACCCACTTTTACCATATTTTTTGTCTAAAACGGTTTTGAGTGGCTCGCTGCTCTTAAGAATCTGCCTACCTCCTCGGGGATATCAGTCGTGACGTTATGTATAATTTTAATCAAAAATAAATTCCAATTTTTCTATGTGTTTTTGAATTAGGCCACTTAACAGCACTCTCTGCTAGTTTCTGGGTTACTTTATCAGTTAGGAAATAATCAGCTTATGACGTTTTCTATTGTATCGTTGTAGAGTATTGTATTTGGTCATACTATTATATATTAATTGATAATTAGTAGGTAACTGTTTGGACGAAACCATTTGAACTATACCACCAGCATGACACCGCACCTATTGTTACTACGATAATTCAACTGAATACAATACATTAAAGCAGTTTTACGTACAGCGGTTGAATTTATGTAGGCTTTTACTATATTCGTTTTTTAAGTCGACATAATGAATGTATGTTTTTTTTTTTATAGAATAGGGGGCAAACGATGCATGCGGCTCACCTGATGGTAAGTGACTACCGCCGCCCATGAACAACCGCAACACCAGGGGAATTGCAGATGCGTTGCCGGCCTTTTAGAAAGGTGTAAGCTCTTTTCTTGAAGGTTCCTAAGTCGTATTGGTTCGGAAAATTCGCTGGTGGTAATTGATTCCACAAAGAAGTTGTGCGAGGGAGAAAACTTCTTCTAAATCGCACAGTGGTGGACCGCCAATCATCCAGATGGTATGGATGGTAACGCGAGTTTTGTCGCGACGTGCGATGGTGATATTGAGCGGCTGGAATTAGTCCGAACAATTCCTCAGAGCACTCCCCGTGATAGATGCGATAACATACGCAAAGAGATGCAACATCTCTACGCAGTGCCAGTGTATTCAGCCGATCGGAAAGAACTCGGTCGTCGACGATTCGAATCGCTCTGCGCTGGATGCGGTCAAGTGGAAGGAGCTGGCACTGGGGTGCCCCGGCCCAGAGATGAGAACAGTATTCCATGTGGGGCCGAACTTGCGCTTTGTAAAGTTGCAAGCGATGTGCCGGCATGAAATACTGTCTCGCTCTGCTGAGCACGCCAAGCTTTTTAGAGGCCAATTTGGGCTTCCCTTCCAAGTGACCACGAAACTGCACGCTATTCGATATGTGGACGCCAAGGATTCCGATACTGGCTGAGGCAGCAAGGGGAGTGCCTTGAAACTGAGGAGATACGACAAAGGGGTTCTTTTTAGCGGTAAACGCGCAAACTTGTGTCTTCTGGGGATTGAACTGGACTAGAGTTAGTTGGCCGCAATCCGAGACTTTGTTAAGCAAAGACTCGACTTCAGACACAAGTTTGTCCCGGTACTCGGCGACGTTTTCCCGAGAAATATTGGCACGGCCGGTATATAAGGCACCCCCAGTGCTGTCGTCTGCATAGCAATGAATGCTACCAGTTAGCAACATATCATTGATATGCAGGAGAAACAGCGTTGGTGATAGCACGCAGCCTTGTGGAACACCAGCGTTGATAGGCTTGTAACCAGAGCATGCACTGTCTACTACGACCTTGATGCTCCGATCAGCAAGGAAACTGGTGATCCATTTGCACAATTTCTCGGGAAGCCCATAGGAAGGAAGCTTCGAAAGAAGCGCCTTGTGCCAGACCCGATCGAAGGCCTTCGCTATGTCCAAACTAACGGCCAATGCCTCCCCCTTGGACTCTACTGCCTCCGCCCATCTATGAGTTAAGTAAACTAGAAGATCACCTGCTGATCGACCCCGATGAAAACGTACTGACGGTCACTGATCAGCTGGTGATCCTCAAGGTACCTCATGAGCTGGCAGTTTATAATGGATTCCATTATTTTGGAGAACAAGGAGGTGATGGCGATAGGCCTGTAGTTGGACGGGTCTGAGCGGTCGCCTTTTTTAGGGATCGGGTGGACCAAAGTTGTCTTCCATGAATTCGGGACTACGCCTTGGGAGTAGGAGTACCGGAAAAGACGCGTTAAAACCGGTGCCAACTCCGGAGCCCACGTCTTCAGCACAATGGGAGGGACTCCATCGGGCCCACTCGACTTGCTGACGTCCAGGGAGAAGAGTGCTTTGCGAACCGAGCGCTGTGTAAATCGCACATCCGGCATGGAGCACTCACATCGCGGGATGGTCGGCGGTGTGTTCCCCCCGTCATCTAGAGTTGAGTGAGACGCATAAAGAGAGCACAACAGATCGGCTTTCTCTTTTGCGGCATGGGCCAGTGAGTCGTCCTCTCTGTGCAGAGATGGGAGGGATGGCTGACAGAAGTTCCCTTGGACAGCCTTGGCGAGAGACCAGAATGCACGGATTCCCGAAGGAAGGCGAACTAGCTTCTCGCCAATTCTGCCAATGTGCTCAGACCTTGCCTTGGCAATGACGCTTTTGAAGGACCTGGAGGCGGAATTATACTTCTTTTTAAGTGCGCTGGTGTTTAAATCCCGAGACGTTGATGCGTCAGCCCAGGCCCGGTAGCACTCCTGCTTATAGCGTGATGCTATTTTACAGGAGCGACCAAACCATGGCTGGGATCTGCCTCCGATGGGCACCACAGAGGATGGAATAAAAAGTTCCATACCCTGAAGTACCACATCAGCAACAGAATCGGCAACAACGCTGGGATCTTCCGGCGAGAAGCAAACCCGCCCCCAAGGGTAGGATGCAAAAAAAGACCGCATCCCGTCCCAATCAGCTGACCTATAGTGCCAAACACGGCGGCAAGCTGTAGATCGCAACTGCGATTGGAGCGTGAGTGGCACCGTGCTCCGGATCAGACAATGGTCCGAAGAGCCCAGAGGGGCATCGACGGAGACCTGATATCCGTCCGGATGAGAGGTCAGCAGAAGGTCCAACAGGGAAGGTACATGGTCTTCCACATCTGGGATCCGCGTAGGCGAAGTAACCAGTTGTGTTAGACCATATGCCAAAGCAAAGTCGTAGACAGATCTACCCGCATGATCGGTTAAACGAGAACCAAGCCATTCAGCGTGGTGGGCGTTGAAATCACCGAGTATCACGATCTCTGCGGATGGGACCTGTTGTAGCACGGAGTCTGCAGCCATTTGGACGTGGTCGATGAGTCGGTCTGTGTCGGCATTACCGCTATGGGACCTATAGAGGCACCCGTAGACGCGGGGATGGTCGTCGCTGTCTACGCGCAGCCATAGGATGGACAGGTCCGTACCTTCAAGGCTGCCGAGGCGTCGAAAACAGATGTCCTCTCTGACGTATACACAAACTCCACCCCGGGGCACAAAGGAGTGTTCCAATTTGTATCCGGGGTAGGAGAGATATGAAGTATCAGCCGGAGAGGACACCTGAGTCTCGGTTAAAAAGAGCAAGGCCGGCTTCGCCGTCTCTAGATGGTAATGGACAGCGTTAAGGTTGGAATGAAGTCCCCTGATGTTGCAAAAATTCACGGATAGCGTGACAGGGGTCGCCTTGGTTGTATTGCTCCGCTTGCCCCGAGCAGCATTAGTCACGAGCGGAATTTCGCCCCCCCCCCCCCCCCAGAATACGCGGGGCAGCCTGAGCACCCACGCTCAGGAGTGAAGTAGTTTGTTCGTGGATGCTCAGCGAGGGATTCTCCAGGGGTGCTGGTACCCTCCTGGGGTAGTCTTGTATTTAATTCCACTACCATGTTGATGGGGGGGGGGGAATAGGGCCTCCGGCCATCTGCACTCACCAAGCGCAACGCAGAGGTAAACCTCTACTTCACGCTGGTATTCTGTGAGGTCGTGGTACCACCCCGGTTCGAGCTGGCCCATCCGTGCGACAGCAAAAGCTACCGCTTGGCTCTACCACTGTTAAAATTTATAAATTTATATGTATGTTCAAAATTTGGTCAATTGTAAGCGTATTTGCACAATTAGTTAGCCGTTCAATTGAACATTTCAAACCAACCAACCTAAATTAAGTATTTGGAAAAAAGTGGCATCATTAGTGGTTGAATCAAGAAATCAATTATTAATGGAATGTCCGTGTCATTTACTCGATTACGTCCGACGAGTGGTTAGATAGTCTCAGAGATTGTTGTTTGCAAGCCACGTCATTCTGAGCTGATAATCCCGAGAACGGTATCAGGTCATATTATGAAATGCACGTGTAGTATTGTATGTTTTATGAATACTGTATTTGTCTGTAAAATTTCAAGTATACCTAATTAAGGTTAAGTTAATAAAATCGTGTAGCATACTATTTTTAACTTTTATTTCATGATAATAAATCGCCTATTTTTGTGAACTTAAGTAATTTCAACAATTTTATGAGTTTGTACTAAATAATTTTAATCGAGCTTACGTTTAGTAAATATATAAAGCAGTAATTCATACATTACTGCTTGCTTATTGACTTATTTGTTACGTCTATTCTTCCTTAGCTCTAGCAGTGCTATGGCCTCTTATGGCGCGTTGCACGGTGGTGTCCAAGCGAGAGCTTCAATACCTAGTGCCATTTGGCACTGCTTCCTGGCTATGGGGTACAGTTTTCATTGACCGGGGTGCTCGATCTGCGCACTCCGTCCTGAACCAACAGAGCAACGCTGTTCGGGAACACAAGGTAACTTTTTTGTTCAAATTTCGGCCGATAATAATATGTGTTCAAAAACTTAAGTCTTAATTTCTCTGATCTTATTTTATTTTTCTTTGAGATTTATTGTGATTGGTTTTGTATATTTGACGATGCATTTAAGCTTATTGTTGGTCTTATTGCATAAGCATTTTTATCAAATACGTGTTCATAATATTCATTCATAATATGTATGTTAATTACCTCTATAATAGACGCTGAGCAATTGAAAACTTTCGATAAAGTTCTGAAGTAGATTAAGTCAATTTAAAAAACAAAACGGCAAGTCTGTAATTATCGTACGTACAATATTGTCTCATTTTTAGGATCTTGCGAAAGGATGTAAATGTGAAATCATAAAATTACTCATAAAATTTAGCAATTTTTTGTAAAAGTGACAATCGTCGATATGTTCTTGAGTAATGTCGATTATTATTCAAACTTGTTACAACTATAATGTTAATATCTTTTTATATTGTTTACATTAGCTTTTAGAATCCATTGCAGGATATGGGTTTTCCAAAGAATTACTTATGTTTCTCTTGGATTTGTCTACAGTACTTACCTACCACGCTGTGGGTTTGTTAGTATTAAACGATTATATTCAATGTTACATATTCATCTATTTCTATTTTTAGAATGTTTACGTACAATACCTAATTACCATTTAAAAATGAATCGGTAATATATGCATTTCATTAACACGTTTGGAATGGACGAAATTTAAAAGTCTCGCCCATTTACTCTTTAAATTTTAGTACTGGTCTGCGTTTAAACAACTTTCTTACAAATTATTACTGCACACTTAACGCTTTCAATGTTGTGCAATCGTAAGTAAAAGTAGGTACGCCGTGAATTGAGAACAATCCAGATAGGTACATTAATTCAAACGAAGACAAATAAACATTAAAATATCAACAAGGTTGTTTTGGATTGTTATTTTATATACTTGTATAGTGTGCGTATGTGTCAAAGTCAATACTGTTTGAGTTATTCTGTGTGCGCGTTTTCCTCAGGGTATTTATTCAATGTCTCGTCCTGCTTAGCCTTGACAATGTGTGTTAGGACGGCACGTAATTCACTTATCGGTGTGACGTTATCGTCAACAATGTGTGCCTTATGCCTATTTCAAGGGTGTTTTTGGATGTTTCACAAAGAATAATAAGCAGTAATTTAAGCTTAAGATTTGGAACTTGTTTGAATGTTATTAAAATCACATCACCCTTTCGAAAGTTTTTGTTATATTTCTGCATTTGTGATATTATATATTTTTGAAATGAAAAGCAATAACAATAAAGGAGAACAACAAAGAAGAGTGAGAGACATGCAGTAACAAAAAATAATATTGAATACATTGATAAAATTGATGCTGCAGCAGCCGCTCTTGTCACGGCCAATGCCACAACCCACAGCGTTGTTATTCTGTCATTTACACAAACATTATGAGATGTTATAGGATAAGATGATAAGATCTTTTTATTTTAAATTATTAGAACTTCAATGGTTTATTTTAAACATTTTCTTATATCGCACATATTATTCGAGATCGAAGCATCAAAGTATTTTTTTTGGCCTGAGAGCAAAGATGAGGTCTAGGATGGAGCGAGTTTACCCAGGAGGAGCCTGTTCACACACACCTTAAAGAGGTTTAGGTTATACCAACGCACTCGGAAAAACAGACGCCAGCATGGCATTGCACTCCATGGCTGTGCGCATTATAAAAAATGACTTAAAGCGCTTAGTACGAATATTCGGAATGTCTACCAAGTGTGGATGGTTACCTGCAGTACCTACGTGTAGTACTCCGATAGGAGAATGGAGATGGCGGTATGAGCTTATGAGCTCATAGGCACACTCTGCGAAGTACAATTTGTAGAAGACCGACAAACAAGCAGGTTGGCGGCAGTGAGCTAAGCTGTTAAGCTTAGTTTCCACCAGCTTTTTGTCGCCGATAACTCTCTTATGGCTCTGTGTTCCACTCCACTGAGTCGAGTGCGGCAAGTTGTTATTTTGCTGAGCCATCCCAAAGGTGACTACAATGCTCCATGCATGTTCGAACTTGAGCTTTGTATAAAGTTAGAATCTGTTTAGGCGTAAAGTATCGATACATTTTATTTAAAATACCAAGTTTTTTGGCCGTAATTTGTGCTTTTGACTCAATGTTAGCGCCAAAGTTGAGGTTAGCACTCAATTGTATGCTGAGAAGCTCGAGATGATCAGTAAACTCTACGGATGTACATCGGAAAGTAGGAGCCAAATCAAACGGACACCGTTTTGCGGAAAAAATGTTGAAAGTTGAAAGTGACCAGATTGTCGTCAACCCATTGAGAGACAAGTTTTAAGGTCGCATTTATCTGCTCCACCATAGCCTGTCTGAATGACCGTATTACTGCCCCTCCGTCTTTTGCACTGAACATGAATCTCTCTGTGATTGTGTTGTCATCAGCATACACAACAATACCTGGTAATATGGATAATGTTTAAGAATAAAGATAATGGATAATAAAAAAAGATGATAAATACATTTTCCACCATTTTGCTAAAAGACCATTATAGATTTATATATGTTTTAAAAGCCGATATGTAAATAAGACGGAAGTGAAACAAATTGCACTAGGCTCTATTTGTCTTGTCATAAACAAAAAGTACGCTAATCACAGCTAATTTTTTTCTTTTTATTCTGTCGATTTTCCTAGACACGCTCGCCGTAAAGTCGCAGAACAAATAATAGTACTAGGTAAGTACGCAGTAAAGTTTATAGTACGCGAGCAACCAACCGATGTACGATCTCCGCCAGCACAATTTAAATTGCTAATTCTGCAAATTTTAAGTACTGATTGACGAAAAGAGAAATGTACTCGACTATAAAAATATTAAATATATACTATAAAACTATTAGTGTAATTAAGTCACCAAATGAGCGATATATTATATATATATATATATAATATATATCGCTCATTTATATATGTATATATATATTGATCATCAAAATATTTAAATCTGAAAAAAAAACCCGATTTTGAACTAAAGTGACATCACTTTAGTTCAAAATACAAACTCTAAATGGTTGAGTTATTATTTACTTAAACAAATTCAACCCTTTGAAATCTTATTATTTTTGTTATTTTACTTTTTTCTGCGCTGTATATGTCGCTCTGAGGTCTATTAATCTATTGTTATGTCTTTTAAATGCACTTATATGTAGGAAAACATAATGACAAAGCCTGCATGTCTAAGAAATAAACATCTTATGATTACACATAAAGTCCTCCAGAAATGAGTGGAGGGCTCTGCTCAGCTGCGAGGCATATATTTGTTACTGTAAAAGCTAGAGCTACGGTAAATCCTAAGAATTTCCAGTAAAACCTAAGATTAACCAAGTCGTAATGGTAAAAGTCCGAACTGTTCTGTGGTAATCGTTAATTTCGGACTTTTACTAGCATTAACTTAGTTTTAGTGGTTTTACCTCAAAGACACGTACAATGTTGAAAAATAATCATGTCTAGAAATGTTCGGCGCATTATCCTACTCGCGGAAACCGCGCTTCGTGATACTCTCTGAGACGTGGGGGAGGGGGTGTGATGCCCAACTAGGAGGGGGAGGGGGGGAGGGATAAAATTTAACTTCGCTCTACATATATGCCGATAGATAAAAGTACTCCAATAATTTTGCCAAATTTTCTATACATTGCTAGCTAAAATGCTTGAACTAGGTGTAATGTCATGTGGCGCGCCTCAGACACGTGATGAAGCGGGTGAAACCGCGGGGCACAGCTAGTAGACAATAACTTTATTATTTATAAAAACGACATACAATAGTCGAATAATCTTAACAGCTGTTTTCTTATAAACACTTCCTCTTTGATGCCGCAGCTGCTATCTATCACATCTGAGTGTAGTGAAAATTTTGTTTATTCTGTTAATACTAGTGAACAGTTATCCTTGTATTACTGTAAACTTTGCAATTACCTATCACATTAGTTCGTAAAGTCTAATCCAGTGCCGGATGTTATTACAGCTTGGAGTTTGTACTGTAGACTCATCCGCAACATAAGATATCATTATCATATTAGTATATTATGTTTATATCATACATGCTATGCTTTTTAGTATGTATAAGCATGTAGGTACAAAGTTATTGTAACTGCTACGGAGCTTGGCACCCCGAAAGTGGTTTTTACCGAACTTGGCCGCCGTTTCACATTTATTTTTTGGTTCGGATATCATTATTTTTTAATAAGTTTTATCCTTTTATTGACCTAAATAAATAGATACATGAACTTGAACGACAACGTAAACAAGAAAAAAAACATGCGTGAGTGTCGTGGAACACTCGGTTGAAACGAAGTTCCTTTCGTAGTATATTATTATTGATAAACGTATTATATTATTGATTAATAAATACAAATAAATTAATCACTAGCATCTATTAAAATGAAGCGTCATTTAAAAAAAATAATACTTCTTTCATGACAAGATAAGAAAAAGTGCGAGGGAGATGGATGTTATTCCATCTCGCTTCCTTATAGCCGCCAAGGCCGTCTACACTACGTCAGAAGGGGTCGTGACGGACAAATCTTACACTTTTCTCGACTAGCCCCCATCCGCCAGATTCGTACAGTCCGATAAGGAACTTCGTTTCAAAAATCTTGCGTTTACGCTTCATGGTTTTCAATTTTTAGTTTAAATGGTAAGAATTAAATGTCAACAAAGTTATTGATGTGGTGAGTTTTAAATACATTAGGTACTAGAAACTAACTGCACCAATTACTTTGTCGACACCGAATATCGATAATTTGTAGTTAAGATTTTTTCCTTTACGATCTACCTTTATTTAAGATCTACCTTTATAATTTTATGTTTTTAAGAGAGCTAGAAGTGACTTAGGTTTTTAATGAGTGGGTTGGTTTAAAAAAAACATAATTTAACCCAATTTTTTCGAAATTTTACACTGTTTTCCGCGGAAAAAAAATTACGTGATATTTGCCG